CCGCCACTGGAAACCTGGCCTCCGCCACTGGAAACCTGGCCTCCGCCACTGGAAACCTGGCCTCCGCCACTGGAAACCTGGCCTCCGCCACAGGAAAATTGGTCTCCGCCACCGGAAACCTGGCCTCCGCCACAGGAAACCTGGCCTCCGCCACAGGAAACCTGGCCTCCGCCACAGGAAACCTGGTCCCCGTCACTAGAAACCTGGCCTCCGCCACTGGAAACCTGGCCTCCGCCACTGGAAACCTGGCCTCCGTCACTGGAAACCTGGCCTCCGTCACAGGAAACCTGGTCTCCTCCACAGGAAACCTGGTCTCCGCCACAGGAAACCTGGTCTCCGCCACAGGAAACCTGGTCTCCTCCACTGGAAACCTGGTCTCCTCCACTGGAAACCTGGTCTCCTCCACAGGAAACCTGGCCTCTGTCACTGGAAACCTGGTCTCCGTCACTGGAAACCTGACCTCCGCCACAGTAATATCTATTCTAATTCTAGTAGTATCAAAATCACTATCAATACCATAAATAGTTTTATAAATGCATGGGATTAATATACCGACGAGCTACATGTACATGATTCACTTTACTTGTTTATAATATAAATACACAAACAATAATTCATAACTACTCTTCAAATAGTCATTGTAGAATTAAATGTTAAATATTGCACAATAATACAACATAAATATTTGATCCATTAAATAGTGTTTGACCATTTATGGTTAAAGGCTATAAGCCAACAATTAGGATTTGACTTAGCATGGAAAGTGCTAGCATTAGCATGCTACAAACAACAACACAACCAAGCACACAAAAAAACAAATCAGTTTGTTTGTTTCCAGTTTTAAGCAAAAAACAGTAGTTTTTCACAGAATAGAGACTTCTAAGAGCTGAAAACATTCCAGACAGTCCAAATACAAACTAAATGATTTAAAACCGCTCACCTGCAGCAGCTCTGAACTCCCCCTCACACACCTGCTCAGACAAACGATGGGAGGAGCCATGTTTTTCTATAAAACTCAAATCCCGCAAAATCTCGCGAGATTTCACTTGTGGTCCAAAACTTTTTTTTTAATTCATTCAACCTTTATTTCTACAGGTTAGTCCCATTGAGCCTCGAGGACTGATTTCAACAGAGAATGATGACAACAGTGGACAATCATAAATGATTCATACAAATTTAATTTTTTTGTCTTTACAATTGAAAACAAAATGATTAAAAAGGAGAAAGAAATGTAGCGACAAAACAGCTAGATTACAAGACGGTGTAGAACACTAAAAACAGGAACGTGTATGAAAAATGAGGCACAGTCTGTGTTGTAAAGAGTTTTGAGTGTCTTGATGAGATGGAAAGATGAAATATAAATATATTTACCATTCTAAAATTACCTGACTGTGGCAGCCATCTTCAACTTGTTCAGTTGAGTATCTGTAAAGGTCAACAGTACAATGAAATGGATGAGAAGAACCAGTATGACTCGATAAAAAAACAAGAAATACTAAAGCATGCAATAAGCGTACAAAAATAAAGTGAAAAAGTAATTCTTATATTTACAAGGTCCTAAAGAGAATGTAGTGAACTAGGCCTCAGGTCAAATCTGGCCTTGAGGGCCTTCCTGGAACAAGAACTGTATTTCATTGATTTGAGTCCAGAAACACAAATCAAGTCCATCCAGAAGACTTTTTAAGTGTCCTGCACTGATCAATTGAAAGAACACTCTCTTTTCTATTATCATTACTATTTTACAAATGTTTGATAATCAAAGTGTGTTTAGTTCAAACCATTTTTAGATGTTGCAGTGAACTAATCATTTTTAATTCAACTGTGAAACAGTAATAATGATTTTAATCCTCATGCAAAGTAGAAATCATGTTAAGGTCTGTTACAGAGTAATTATGCATTTTCTGATTTTCTGTCTTTGAATGAGCAAGTGTAAGTTGGTCCAAGGTTGGAGTCAAACGCAAAACAAGTTGTTGGAACGAACTATCATGTTTTTAAATCCTCTCAGACGTAAATATAGAGGCTGGCACCTGTTTTCACCCAACTCGCCTAAATATTCCTCTCTCTGTCTCTAAAAACATTTTCAATCTGTTCCAAAACACTTTCTGTTTTTCTGACTCCTAGTGACCTCTTACGTCACAAAAACACACCCCTGTCTGGTCGAAACGACCAATCAGGAACCTCCCAAATGAACCGGAAATAGAGCTCTTTAAATGTCGGTACTTCCTAGTTCAAACCAGTCGGGTGGAGAGTTTGCAGAGCTCCAGTGCTGGGAGAACAGAAGTCCAGGCATGATCCGCAGTTCTTCCGAGTCTTGTGGGGATTATGACATCTTCCACCTCTGAGTGGAACTCCTGATGGACTCACTCCTCTTGTGAGTCCACCAAGAGGTGAACTTGTGTCAAACAAGTACCGTCACTACTTCGGACGATTCACAGCTGTTCCTACGGAGACGCTGAAAGGGTGCGTTAAATGGAACTCCGTACCAGTGGAATCACCTCCTCCAGGTAAAAGAGTTGATTTATACCACCTAAGTGTACCGGGGAAGAAGCTGGGAACTCACCGGAGTGCCGTTCTGATGCAGACACAAACATTTCCCTCGTCCATCCTTTCTCTCAACTTAAACTTCAATTTCCATCTTTAAACTCTTCTATCTGCTAGCAAATTAATCCAGATATTTTTAGAAATGTCTGTTGTACAGCTGGAAGCAACGGAAAATCATGGCCGAATGGTTTTCCTGATTGTAAAGCTGATTGTTTTAACCTGTTGTTGAAATCATTTGCCAAATTAATGTAAATGTGTGATGTTAAATTTTGATTCTGTAAATAAATGACCACGTTCATTTTGATGGGTCAAAGATAATTAAAGTCTCACGTTACGTTTTTAATAATTCAATGCACGACATTATACAGTCCAGAAAAATGAAAGAATCCGTTTAATTTATGAATATATATAACAGCATATGTTCATCTACAAGAACAACAAGGTAGAATTTTATAGGTGCAAGCAGAATGAATTTGTATAAATAAGTATTTCAAGGTAGTAATATAAGCTAAAATGCACATTATATATATATAAATGAATAATTTGCATAGATGTATAAAAATGTATCTGCTTGTTGCTCTAACATAAAACCTTTAAATTTGTCAGCTATGAAACCCACATTATTCCAGAAATCAATGATCAAACTTTCCAAGTGAATAAGGAAAAATAACGAGTTCTGACATCAACTTTGTTCAAAACTTTTTGTCATAGGTAAGAGGGGCAGAATAACGGTCCAACCAACCATTTGAGCTGCTAAGAACACGTGACAGGTGCAGCATGAAACAAATGGCTGCACAGCCTGACCAGGTCATACATGCAACTCATGACAGATGGTATCATTATAGAAAATATTTGATTACATGAACACATAAACCTGCAATCACAAATACAATGTTGAAAATTTAACATAAAATCATGTACTAAGTATAATAAACTGAAAATAACAACATTAGGGTTGAAGGCTCAGTCTGGCATACGTTTGGTGTCAAAATGCTGATGAAGATTGTTCTCTTTGACGACCGCCACTGCCTCGTAACACAGAGACATACTGGTTTCTCTCCTCGAAGCACAAACATATATTCACCTTCCCGTCTTTCTTGAAACAGCCTTCCATCTGCATCAGTTTATTTTGGATCATTGTTTGTACTTCTCAATTTCACTCGTTTGGAAAATGTCATTGATGTGGAAACACTTCAGTCTAGTGGTGGGATGCTGTTACTTCACGGGTAACAATCAGCATGCATCATGGGAAATGTAGTTTGTTGTCAGTGCACCTTTTGACATTTATTATACGACAATCAGACGTTTTAAGCTCTCGCAGGCCTGACGTGTTTTACATGATTGTTTATTGTCGTCTGTACCTCATCGGTGTTCTTTGTTAAATTCAGGTCTCTCTTGTCAATGAGTTCCCGAGGCTCATTGAGACGCACCTGTAGAATTAAAGGTTGAACGAATGACCGAACTTCCTGTTTTGTATACAGAAACGATAAGTGCGTGTGAGGAGTGGTTAGTAGTCATTTCTCTGCTGCACACTGAGTCTGCTGAGGTTCAAAGACCTCTACCATTAAACACATCAAAAGGACGGCTTCTGAGACCCACAAGGCCTAAAGCTCAGGCTCCCTAACCCTAACCCTCTTCCCAAACATCTTGTTCACATCAAGTGTAACGACAGATTCTTTAGCAGCGATATCTGGCCAGAGGATTTGGGAATTTGTAGTTTGGGAACTGCAGATGTGTCCCAGTTCAGGGACGGCAGGAGTGCAGTATCAGTCGGATTTTAAAGGCTCCCCCCTCCCTGAACTCTTTATAAATAATTTTTTTTTTAATTAGGAAAACTTGAATCGATGTGGATCTTGCATGATTAGAAAATGATGTTGGAATGTTGGGCAGCTTCAAAACCTCTTCAGAAATCTAGTTTATTGTTGTTAGTTAGTTTTTTGTTGTTTCTGACAGGATGAAAACTCAGAATTCCTGAGAGAAGTTTCTGAACACAAAAATAACTCCGTAACTTTAGATCGCTGCAGACGCTTTATTTTGACTCATTTATTCCTTCCTTGGGAAACCAGTCTCCGGGAGTGTTTGGTACCCGGACCAGGACTCTAAGCCAGGGGCAGCTCGTGAAAGGCAGCGTACCGTCCCGTCACGTGATGGTAGATCTGAACAGACAGAAAACTGGTCAAAAGCTGAACATGAAGCGGGTGTGAAGCGTGTTGTCACATGAACTCTCACCTGCCTTTCGATGTCTGCCAACAGGCTGCTAGCTCCCAGGCGGAACAGGTGAGGACGGAGCCAGTCGTTGCCCAGCTCCTCTTTAACCAGAGTTAGCCACACCAGAGCCTCCTGCGCTGTTCGGATCCCCCCTGCTGGTTTGAAGCCCACCTAGAGGAACACACGAAGAACTCAGAGCAGCAGAACTTCTGCAGAATGGATTGTTTATTTAAAATGTTACAGTATTTAAATTTAACTTGAAGAGAAGAGAAGTGCAGCAGGACATCACAGGATGTCGCAGCTTCAGCTCTGCAGCACAAATGAACTTCTTGATCAATGACACTGAAACAACTGAACATAGAAGTTCTAAAAATAATTTAAAATAACTTAAGACTTTTATAATTTGTGATTATGATGATTTTATGATGTGACATACTTTGAATTTTAACTTGGAAGACAAAAGTCGATCGGTGCATCTGGACAGCAAACACAAAGCTGCTGCAGGAGAAATGTGTGGCAGAGAAGGAGATCAGCTGATCAGCTGCAGGAGGGAGCTTCCCCTGCACTTGTGGGCTGCACACATGGTGCAAAATCCTTTAAAATTATTTATTTTCAATAAACAACCCATCAATCAACCACTTGTCATGTCCAATCTTATTTTGAAAACTGTGATAAATGAACCAGGAAGTAGTGAGGGACTACTGTATGTAACTAGTGAGAGTGACCACTCCGTTTTCCATTTAGGATGGGATAGACTTAGAGACAGTGTTTCAACAAGTATAACTAATAACTGGTTTGGCATTAATCAATAATCCTGACTGAAAAATAGAAGCTGCTCCTCCACCTCGGCCAGTTGTTCTAGGAACATGAACATTTAAATAATTAACAGGAGTGGATTCATTTATACCAACAAAATCCTCCTGTTGTAGCCAAGTTTCTGTCAGACACAATAAATCAATATGATGATCAGTTATCAGTTCATTAACTAACAGGGATTTAGAGGAAACAGATCTGATGTTCAATAATCCACATTTAATGATTTGATGATGTTGCTCTGGTAAAGTAACTGTGTTTATTTGAATCAGATTTTTATGGTTTATATTTTTAGAGCTGATTTTTGGTTTATTTAATTTGAGCCGTGGGTGAGTTGACACTGTTTCAATGGGGGGTGGGTGGTGTACAGAGGAGAAGCAGCAGAGAGGTGGAGGACTACAACTCTGCTTCCTGGACTGGACCCTGGACTGGACCCTGGGTTGTCAATAATTTGGGGGATAAACAAAATCAGCCATATTTCTAGAAAGAAGAGCGGCTCCGTCCAAAGTGGGATGGATGCCATCTCTCCGCATCAGACCAGGTTTTCCCCAGAAAGAACTCCAGGTATCTATGTAGCCCACGTCGTTGTCAGAACACCACCTGGACACCCAGCAGTTAAACCACGACATACGGCTAAACATGTCATCGCTGGTCAGGTTGGAGAGGGGGCCGGAGAAAACTACGGAGTCTGACATGGTTTTAGCAAAGTCACACACCGAAGCAACATTAATTTTAGTGTCCTCTGATTAGAGGAACCGGGTGTCATTACCGCCGACTATGGCCGCTGGAGTCCCTAAAGACACGTTTGGGACTATGGAGCTTCCAGTAACCAGGGTCTGCTTCTCAGCGGGTGTGTCACTGAGCAAGGAAAATCTATTAGAAACATGAACGGGTCGGTGGTGAACTGGGGGCTTAGCCTTAGCACTACACTTTCTCTGGACCGTCACCCAGCCGGCCTGGGGTCCCGGCTGCTCGGGGTCTGCTGGAGGACCGCTAACGGGAGCTAGTCTCTGTGGGTCTGCACTGTCTAAGGGGACCTGGCTAGCTACTGGTTTTTCTACAGCGCGGAGCTGAGCTTCCAGTTCAGACAGCCTCTCCTCCAAAGCGACCATAGGACTACATTTGTTACATGTATCATTACCACTAAAGGAGGCAGAGGAGGAACTAAACATCTGACCACGGAGCAAGAGAAAACAGGAAGCAGGATCACAGTTTGCATGACTGTTCCATTCTCTGCACATAAATTCATACATCATCTGTTACACTACAAACACAGACGAGTCCTCGATGGTCAGAACATTCATGTTTAGTCTCAACAGTCCACAGAATTTTTTTCATGTTTCAAGAGCAGCACCAACTGGTGAATTCCAAAGGTTGCGTGATGTTCGTTCTTCAGTCAGTGTCTTCTTCCTGCCACTCCTCCATGAAGCCCAGCTCTGGGCAGCTTGTAGTGCTCCTATGAACCTCCTATCTCTGCAGGGAGGCACTTGGAGTTCGAGGCTGTTACAGCACATGCACACAGTTTCCTGAAACATTATCTATGGAGGACGCCAAGACCCGCCCACCCCCACCACGGGCACCACTATGAAGGTCATCACATGTAATAAATTCATATGTAAACATCTGTACACAAACTACCAACTCACTGCAGTCATGAAGGGTAAGTGGACTGTACCTATACAGCTCCTTTCTACACTGCCTGGCCAAAACAAAAGTTGCCACCAAAAAATTTTTTAAAAAGGTCACACTAATATTTGGTTGGACCTCCTTTATCTTTGATCACATCATGCATTCTCTGTGTCTTTGTTTCGATAAACTTCTTCAACGTCACAAGATCTGTTTCATCCAGTGTTGAATTAATGTTTCACCAACATCTTTCATTGATGACGAGACACTGGTCATGATGGTGCATCACTTCTCCTGCCTCTCTTCTGACCCTGATGCACCATCACTCTGGAACAGGGTCAGTCTGGACTCATCAGACCACATTACCTTCTTCCATTGCTCCACAGTCCAATCTTTAAGCTCCCTAGCAAATTGAAGTCTTTTCCCCCAGTTAGCCTCACTGGTTAGTGGTTTTCTTAAGGCTACAGCTGTTCTTGAGTTCCTTCACATTGTGTGTTTAAATGTTCTTACTGTCTCTATGAACCACAGCCCTGAGTGCTGCTGGTGTTTTTCTTCCATTTGATTTCACCAAACGTTTAAATGATCATCTATCACCATCATTCAGGATTTGTTTCCGGCCACATTTCTTCCTGGAAGACGATGGGTCCCCGCTGTCCCTCCAGTTTTTAATAATGTGTTGGACAGTTTTAGTAGTTTCTACAATCTCCTTAGATGTTTTCTCTACTTGATGCCAATGATTTGAGCTGCACCAAACCGTCTGTCAATCTCACACTCCATTCTTCCCTCACTTGTGAACAAAATATCGAGATATTTGAACTCCTCCACTTGAGGCAGAACCTCACACTCGACCGGAAGAAAGCAATCCACCCTTTTCTGGTTGAGGACCATGGCCTCAGATGTGGAGGTGCTGATCCCGATTTGAGGTCAGCAGCACACCACCTCCAGTATAAATAGTGTTGGTGGTGCACTGCTTTCCCCCACTGAGACGCCAGATGGTGGACCAGAATCGCCTCGAAGCTGTGCGGAAGTTATTCTCCATGGCCTCTCCGAACTCCTCCCATGCCCGAGTTTTTGCCTCAGCGACCACCCGAGCCACAGGTCACTTGGACTCATCAGCTGCTTCCGGGGTCCCACAGGCCAAAAAGGCCCGATAGGTCTCCTTCTTCAGCCTGACAGCATCCGTCACCGCCAGTGTCCACCACTGGGTTCGAGGGTTGCTGCCGCAACAGGCACCAACAACCTTGCGGTTGCAGCTCCGGTAAGCTGTCTCGACAATAGAGGCACGGAACACGGCCCACTTGGACTCAATGTCCCCTACCTCCCCCGGAACATATTCGAAGTTCTCCCGGAGGTGGGACTTAAGGCTCCGTGTCACAGGAACTCTGCCAGACGTTCCCAGCAAACCCTCACAATACGTTTGGGCCTGCCAGCTCTGACCGGCATGGTCCCCCAACACACCACAATGGAAGTCAATTTTTTGTTGATTTCTTTTAAGTTATAATGCTCACAGTGCACACGGACATGTGACAGATGTGTCTGAAGAGACTTCCAATTTTTCCTCTTTGCTCCACGACGGGGGACAAAAAGGTGATTTTGAATGAAAGTTGGCCTTTGACTGCAGCTACAGCTTCACTGTTAGCATAAAAGGCTCAGAGAAAGAAGACGGACCTTACCTTGTGGCCCGTCAGTAAATAATAGTCCCGGATGGCTCTGAGCATCACGACAGCAACTGGATACGTCGCATTGACAGACTCCTTCCCTGTAGAAGTCTTAATAAAGTCTGAACCTGTGAACAGAAACAGGCGTCACGGCCAGAGTACGTTCACACAACTGGGCTGCTCAGTACAGGAACACACGAACATGGTTAATACCAGAGAGCTGCAGGCTAAATGTGTTTAGGGCTCAACATTTTTCTGACAGTTTCACCTTTGATGCAACAACAACCAGACTGAACTGGAGGCCTGAGTTTGAAGTGCAGTTCTGCTGCAGCGAGAGGTGACACGTCATCGTGGATAAAAATATCCTCGGTTCATCACTCGAGGACACGAGAAGATTTTTTAACTGGTTTTACTTGCAAGGGCAGACTTTCAGCACAGATGTTGCAAGTTCGACATCATGGAGCCCGGTCACGAGGACCTGCACGGGCAGCGTGCAAGGCTTGTTTTTATAACCTTATCAGCTGTCGGCTCAGTCAGACACCGATGGCCTCAGCCTCCCAGCTGCACATGCAGGATCAGGTCAGCTCCTCTTTCAGAACTATCTGCTAACTCAAACGCATGGTTCATGGGCAGTTAACATTCTCAGCCATAGTTCAAAACATCCACAAGTTAGAAAACTCAGCTACAGAACCATCTGATCATAATCTGATTGAGATTAACTGCTGTGTTTCCTAAGGTCAGCTGGCTGTAGTGGTCCTCTGGACTGGCTTGGAAAGGTCATCATTTGGAGATACCACCTCCAGTTTTCATTAAAACACACCCTCCCTCCATGCATGAAATATTCTGCTAACTGAGTTGATAGTGAACGAAAATGTTTTCAACAAAGATCCCGGACAATCTCAGTGCTCGGAAGATAAGATTAAATTAATTATAGCCATGCTGAGTTTTCTGAAGTTGCTTGACTGTGGCGGCCATCTTAAATCTGGTTGACTCCACAAGTTAACCAGTTCTAGATCCCAGTTTCCCGCGCCAGCCTTGAGCCGAGCGTCTTTGAACTCGGACATTCACCTCTGACGTTATTTGCACTGGTCTACTGCCCACCTCGATCTAAGGATTTCATAAATGAGTTTTCTGACTTCTTGGCTGAAATCACACAAAAATATGAGCATGTTTTCATTATTGGGGACTTTAATTTGCACATGTGCTGTCAGGAGAAGCCTTTGGTTAAAGACTTTTTAGATTTACTGGACTCATTTAATTTAACTCAGCATGTAAACGGTCCCACCCAAGAGTGTGGACATACACTGGACCTTGTTTTAACTCATGATGTGACTGTTAATAATCTTGTTATTGGTGATAATGTTTTTTCAGACCACATGCCAGTCCGGTTTGAGTTCACCCTCCCCCATCTAACTCCTAAGCCGTACATTCCTGCACGTCGCACTCGGACCATTAACCACTTCACTGCCACACGCTTCACAGATGTTTATAACTCTGAAATGATCATTCAGCCCCCAGTGTTTCTCACCACCACTGAGGAGCTGACATCCCAGTTCAACTCTGTCTGCTTAAAGACTCTGGATCATGTTGCACCTGTTAAAACTAGACAATCTAAACTGAGAGCAGAACCTTGGCTGAGTGATGTCACCAAGGCCGTTAGGCAGCAATGTAGGAGGGCGGAGCGAAAGTGGAGGAAAGACAGGTTGCAGGTCTCTATCCAGATACTTAAAGAGAGTTGGCGCCGTTATCAGAAAACAGTGAAAGCTGCTAAATCAAAATTCTTCTCTGATATAATTACCTCAAACTCTCACAACCCACGTGTCCTCTTCTCCACCCTAAACTCTGTTCTCCACCTCACTGAACCATCACCTCTGGAAGCCTCAACTGAGCTGTGCGACAACTTCTTACATTTCTTTTTTGGAAAAAATTGCGACCACCAGGGCTCTCATTTCCCCTCCAACTCATGACCCATCCATCCCACCTCAACCTGTAGCTCCTTTTGACCATTTTGAACCCATCACTCTATCTTCTCTAGAGCAGGTCATGTGCAGCTTGAAACCTTCTGGCTCCCCCTTTGATGTGGTCCCCCCTCGACTACTAAAGGAGGTGTTTCCAACTCTAGGTCCGTCCATTCTTGCCATAGTAAACAGTAGTTTATCCACTGGCATGGTGCCAAAAACCTTTAAACATGCTGCTGTCCAGCCTCTCCTGAAAAAACCAAACCTTGACCCCTCAGTCGTGTCCAACTACCGGCCTGTCTCCAAACTCCCATTTGTTTCTAAAGTACTGGAGAAAATAGTCGAGTCCCAGTTGAAGTGCTTCCTGGAGGATCACGCCATCTTAGAGCTTTTCCAATCTGGCTTTAAACCTCTCCACAGCACTGAAACTGCCCTGCTGAAGGTCTTTAACGACATCTTCAGATCCACAGATACCGGTGATTCTGTGCTGCTTGTCCTGTTGGACCTCACAGCCGCCTTTGACACCATCGACCATGAGATCCTCATTGCTAGGTTGGAGCAGTGGGTGGGCGTCACAGGATCAGCCCTCAATTGGTTCAGATCTTACCTCACTGACAGATCCTTTTGTGTCTCCATCAAGGATTTTAGTTCTGCAGAGGCAGAGCTTAAATGGGGGGTTCCGCAGGGGTCCATCCTGGGGCCCCTCCTATTCTCTTTATACCTGCTGCCGCTTGGTGCTATTTTCCGGAAACACAACATGCCCTTCCTTTTCTATGCCCATGACTGTCAAATTTACTTCCCCCTAAGACACAATGGTACATGCTCTTTTCAACCACTGCTCGACTGCCTGGCTGACATCAGGGACTGGATGGCTTTAAATTTCTTAAGTTTCAATGAAAATAAGTCTGAAGTCATGTTGTTCCCTCCCAACGACACGATCACAAACCACTGCATCGACCTCTCCGCTCTAACCCTGTCAGAAAAACAAAGAGTCACTAATCTGGTCGTGATAATGGACCCTTCCCTGAAACTTAACAATCATGTTAACATGATTGTTAAATCCTGCTTCTTCCAGCTGAGGCGGCTGTCTAAACTGAAGCCCATATTGTCCAAAAAGAACCTGGAGACAGTAATACATGCATTCATTACATCTAGGCTTGATTACTGCAATTCACTCCTGTTTGGTATCAGTCAGACCTCCATTGCACGACTACAACTGGTCCAGAATGCAGCAGCCCCATTTTTAACCAGTACAGGCAAACGAGAGCACATTACACCAGTTTTGGCCTCACTGCACTGGTTACTGGTTCACTTTCAAATCCAGTTCAAAATACTCATGTGTCTACAAATCACTGAACAGTGTCTTGCCCCCCCCCCCCCATCTCTCTGATCTGCTACAACCGTATGTCCCACCACGCTCCCTGAGGTCAGCAGACCAGTTGCTCCTCACAGTTCCAGGAACTCATCTTAAGCGCAGAGGTGACAGGGCCTTCTCTGTAGCAGGACCAAGACTCTGGAACGAGTTACCTCTGCTTGTCAGACAGGCCCCTCCCACTCGGTTTTCAAGTCCTGTTTAAAAACTCACTACTATTCAGTAGCTTTCATCACCAGATGATCTGTGTTTTGATCCTGTATGCTCCACACTGGTTTGTCGTCATTATCTGCATCGTTTTTATGTCTATATTCTGATTTACCTCATTTTGTATTTTGCTTTGTGTGTTACCTGTTGTTCTGTCTGTACAGCACTTTGGTTGGCTTTGTTGCTGTTTTAAGTGCTTTATAAATAAAGTGGTATGGTATGGTAGATGCAACTTGAATGACAGACGGTCTGCCAGAGCTCCAATCCCCGTCGTGGCTCTGCGGTGGACAACTCCGGTGTTTGGTGAAGGTAAAAACATCACCAGAGGTTGTGACTCCAACTGCTCCTGACTTCCTGCATTTTTAAGGCACACACACTAAATGTGCCAACAGGCTAACGGGTCGGTTCCACAAGCAGATTGTCAGGGACCCTGTTAGAAGTCATTAGAATAATTTGTCTCCACACGGCTTCTTAATCTCCCTGCGCTTCTATAAATTGCATATGAGCTTGTTGAAACTGAATGATAATTTCACCTATTAGGTTTTGATTTCACTCAGCTGATAATAAATGGAGCTTCATTATGACCGCCCACTTTTAATAACCATTATCCATTATGTGCTAATTAAGATGCTCCATAATGAATCTTTAACCGCGTGTCACTTTGAGGAGGCTGGAAAAAAGACCTGACTGAACAAAAAATGAGCAGTCTTTAATGAAACAAGACATTTTGAGCTTGTGAAATCTTTTTTTAGTTTCTGTAAATTAAATGTGAAGATGAAGAGATGAAAATGACCATGAAGGGGGAATGAAACCGTTGGGTTAGTTATATGTGAACCAGCAGCTGCTCCCTGCCAGCCACAAGCATCACTTCTCCTCTGCTTCAGCTCGTCTGTTTCCAGGGCTGAATTATTGTGCACAAACCAACCTGCTGCACTGCTCATCACCCGCCAGAACCACTGAAAGGAAAAAGGTGGGTGATAGTGTCTTTGCCCGTATCGGTGCACGTGTATTTGTGGGTCTGTTGCTTATCAATTCATCTCAAGAACCACCAAATGGATTTCAATGCAACTTGCAGAAAATGATCATTTCATGTACATCTCAGTTTGATTAAAGATGGCCGCCTCAGCCAAGCAACCATAAAAACAAAATGGCTGCCAGTCAGTGTGACACATATCGAGGTAAAAGTGATGTGTTGGGTGAAGATGGTTCCTACGTTACACCTAAAGGTCAACAAGTCTGTTTGTCAAACTGTTTTTAGTTTTCTACATTTGTCTTGGAATCTAGCTGTTTTTTGTTTTGTTACCTTTTCCTTTCAGCCATCCTATTTGTTAAAAAAAACAAAAAAACTGTAGTATGCTTTTTTTTCATTTTTTTATAACTGTTTATTGTTGTTGCTGTTGTCCATTGTTTCATCATTCTTTGTTAAATCAGGTCTCTCTTGTAAATGAGTCCGTGAGGCTCAATGGGATTTACCTGTAGAAATAAAGGTTGAATGAATGAAA